TAATTTAGTCCACGCGATATATCTGCTAGGAAAGGGGAAATTTTCGAAAAAACCGCGTTTCACGATTTATCGATATCGAATAGTTCTCCAACTTTTTTTGCATAATGAAGAAAGGAACGAAGGATCCGTCGGTTTCAGAATCTCGACGATTCTTCTGAACGATCATTAAAGTAGCGGACGTCTCCAAGAGAGAGGGACTCCACTAACTCAAGAATGTCAAGAGTCGACAAACTAATTGAAAGAATCCTTTCTTAGCTACCTAGCTTACCTAGCTCTTCTCTTCTCTTCTCTTCTCTTCTCTTCTCTTCTCTTCTCTTCTCTTCTCTTGTATAATTTTTCTTTCCTTCTTTATCCCCCAAAGATTTTTTTCACGAAAAGATATCCCTTCCTCACTGTCTACGTAATAGTAATCGTAATAATAATCGTGCAAACAATCTTGGACGGTTTCGAAAGATAAGGAAAAGCTCGAACCAAGTTGTTTTCACCAGATTTTTCACCGACATCTCGATGGATTAACGAATTCTTTCGTCGAACTTCCTTACCCAATACTTATTATTATTATCCTCTCCCCCTCCCCTCTCAATTTCGAACAATTCTCTCCGTTCAATTTCAATTTCGTTTTTTTCTTTTTTTTTACAATACGTTTGATAAAACAAGGCAAAAGCCAATAATGGAATAAGAAATTAAAGGGATAGAAGGATAGAAATTGCTGGAGGATCTTTGCTTTGCGCGGAAGTTACACGGGAGGCCCGAGCAGCGGAATTAAGCTAATCATTATTGGTCGGCAAATATTTGGCAAACAGGTCCGTCTCGCTTCAATCCGGTATCTCTAATTTGCCTTCTCCTCGAGTTTCCGTAATTGGGGTATGGCCTGACTAATTAGTAGCCAAGAGACGCCTAAGATCGCTCACTTTGCCCCCTTTGCCTCCCTCCCCCTCTTGTTGCCCAGGGAATCGCAAATTCTGTTTGAGAAACCTTCCTTTTCCCCGGATGTTTGCTCCCTTCCCCGGCACGAGGATGTTGCACCCCTTCTTCTTTCGAAAACACTTTCGCGGATACCCGATTCCTCGATATCGCGATTGTATGCGTTTCGTGAAACACGGGAGGGGGGCTACTTCACGTTGGGAATCGTTCAAACATCGCGCTTCCCTCGGAAAACTCGATTTACCAAAGAGATTCTTCGCATGTTTGGCGTTTCGATCGTGCTTGCAAAATTGTAAGATTGTTTTTTCGTTTCGAAAATTCTCTTCGTATATTCGTGGTTTCCTCTCCTTTTCCTTTGTATTATTTTCGTATGATGCGTCGATGGACAGTTTTCTTCCAAGTTGAAGTTTTCTGTTTAAGTTTTTCTTTTCTTTCTTCAAAGATATTTAAAGCAAAGAAAACTCTAAGTAGTAAGTTCACTGGTGGGAAGAAATTTTTGTTTCTAAAATTTTGTTCATGGTATTGTCGCTAATTCAAAACGATGATTCGTATCTAAACCTCGATGCATCAGTGTAGATATAGAATTCTAACGATATGATATAAACAATTTTTTTTATTTCTCGCAATACGCGTAAGCTAATAATGATTTGTAATAGTTTAATTTGTAAATATAATTTTCAAATAATATAAAAATAAGCTAGATTCAGATATAATTATATTACATCAAAATAATTAATAGTTTCGAAAATATTTCAACTTTCTTGGATGATTATCCTTAACGTAATTTTGTAAATGAAAATAATTTTTACCATTTTGAATATTCAAATTACCCTTCTATACTTATAGTAGCGTGTGCTGACAGAATTGTCAACAAAGCATCCTCTTGCCTTATTCGATATCAATTTTTTCGTTACATCAAAATTTTTTAAGATAATTTTTTTTTGACACGATTGATAATTTCGAAATACCAGTTATAATCCGACAAATTCAATTATTCGAATAATAACTTATCTAGTTGTAAGATTTTCGTTATCACGTACATTCCGTGATTATATTTAAAGAAAACTCTACGGATACTTGGAAACGTTGGGCACGTTGTCGACGAAAACGTCAGGTGTTTCCACCATAAAGCGGCTTATCGGCTTGTTATTTATGCACGGCCGTCCTCTTCCCCGCCGATATTATTCATTTTATCGTGG